ATTTCAGGAATGAAAAATTCAACGATTATTTGTCGTAAGGTCTTGAAATTAAGATTATTAATTGTAAAGGGCTTCACTTACGATTATTAGTCGCAAAGAGTGTACTATTGCGATTAATAATCGTGGAAAGTACGGCTATTAATCGTGACTGCATCCTTAATAGTCGTGTTTGACGAGCTTTTAGACTAATAATCGTGCATCGTACGCTTAATAATCGCATCTGACAGCACATATCATTATTAATCGTACTCCTCTCCAGAGAAAGTTCAACCAGAACTTTTTTTGGATGGCCGCCATTACGACTGAAAATTCAGAAGTTAGTACTTCTTCGCACATGGCTTTTCAAGCAATAAATGTCACGCATTAGAAGTCTTCTCGGGTTCAAGTTCTCAGTGAACTTCATTTCTGTTTAAAAAGTGTGTTTACCAACGACGTTTTTCTTTTCTTTCGTCCTTCGACGAAGTTCAGCGCGGGCTTTCGATCTATCGTGAAAGAGTTGACCAACGTCTCTTCTCGGTGACCTAGAAATTGTAAGTAAATACGATAATTTCGGACAGGTTTCAAGTAGATTTAAGTTTAACCGAATACAGTTGCAAACGAACAGCCAAATGGGTCAAATCACGAGAAATTCCAAATCCCAACAACGGCCTTTTGCGAAGTTGAAACGAATGTTTATGCGGCAAGCGACAGATGAAATCGGCGGCGGTGATCGATGTAATACAATTATTTCAGGTGTAGATAACTTGCATCGCAAGCCGCCAGTCCCGGCTTTACAGAATTAGAAATTGTCAGCCTCAATCCTAAAAAAAAATAAAACCTTTCACTGATTTCCCTACCCCGATTTCCTACCTCATCATAAACCAATAGGAAAGATTAATTTGAGTCGCGGGTTCCTTTCTCCATCCCGCAAGAATCTAGCTCTTTCCAGAACTTTTGTGTTTCGAAATGGGTCGTTCAACAGCAATGGGGAAAACGCAGTTTCAGAATGGAAAAAGTATTTTCGTTATTTTCCTCTCGTTTATGATGAAAAATGCAAACGCTTCTCGAATCACGTTTGATTAAACAAGAAGAGAAAAAAAGAAAAAGAAAAGAAAAAAAATTGGGGTAGGAAAATCAGTGAAAGGTTCTTTTTTCAGGATTGAGTCTCACAATTTCTAATTCAGTAAAGCCGGGACTAGCGGATTGCGATGCAAGTTATCCACACCTGAAATAATTGTATCACATCGATCACAGCCGCCGGTTTCATCTGTCACTTGCTCATAAACATACGTTTCAACTCCGCAAAAGGCCG